GTACTAACAAAAACATCTAAGAATGTATCTTTTATTCTCCAGTACTGAAAACAGAACCGATACGGGAGCTTTTGATATGCGCTGTGACGCAGCTCTTGCAAATGACCTTTTTTGTTCGTTGTCTGTCATTTCGAAGCTTAAGTTGCATACGGTTTTCTTTAGTTTTAATTTGCCTAACTATCGATCTGACCCAGTAGACGCCATAGTCCCACTCTGTCTCTCTCCCGTCCCGCTTACTGTTTTTATTTATTTATTTTTTTTAATGGTGGGTGTTTACACAGTTGGCTAGAGCAGTGCTGATTGGGGAGAACGAAGGTGCGCTTACTCTTGACCAGGGCAAGTAAGACTGCAACTCAAGGCTGGTAGTCATGCATATGCTCTGGAACAGAGTAATATCGTGTCCACATCGCAGGCTTTGCGATTAGGAAATCGCAACGTCTCAAATCGCGATTTCGATTCGATTTCGATTAATTGCACAGCCCTAATATATACACACACACACACACACACACACACTAAGCAATAAAAAAAAAAATGTCCCCGCATTCAAATGTACCGTCTGTTCCTGTTTCCATGTTTCCATTGACACCGCGAACCATGCAGCTTAATTTTTTATTTGATTTTTATAATCTTTTAAAGATGTATTATATAAAATAGGATGCTGCGCTACGGCTAAAATTAGCACTTCCTCCATTTTTGAATGTCTGTACAGAGAGGTCACGCAGTGACGTATCGATCTTCTACTGGTCACACGTCTTCACGTGATGCGAATTCGCAGGTCAGAGTTTACCAAACTTGAACTTTGGAACGCAGCGAAATGCGAAATTTTTCACATGAGCTTGCATTTCCGGTCTGACGCATTCGCATGCGTATGAATGGAAGTCAATGGAACGAAAAGTGCAGTGTGACCGCCCCTTTAGACCGTGATATTAAAAGACCAAACTGCACACACTTCATTAACACCATGTTCAGAAAAACGTAAGGAGTTTGAAGAAATGAATTTAACTTATTGAAAGAATTCAAAAACCTTTAATGTGATAATTTACATCCTTACTCTGCAAGTCAACTAGAGAGGTTTCATTTGTAGTAGATATATCTGTACCGTGAGATGTTTCAAAAACATTTGGCATCCAACTCGCATTAACAGGGGAATACCTGATCTGTCTGCTGTGACAGAAGCAAATAATGCACGTATCCGATTCATATCAGCAGACCTGCCAACCTTGGAACAATTCACATCAGTGTGACGGGACGAGACTACCTGAAGCTCCTTGATGGCTAATGTCAAAATCATGCAAAATGCAAGACCTGCAATGTGCAAAATGCGAGATTTAATGCTAAATATTTTCTAAAGGTTAGCAGGTCTGCACAGTATGCAACAATACACTTAGCCCACGGATCAATACATACCTCGGCTTTTAACCACAGGCTTCACTTCAGTTCAGTTCTGATGGCTTGGCACATCAGAGTATTTTTTGCGATTTGCTATTTAAAATGCTACTTAGAAAAAAGAAAAATAACTCCAGTACACTTCTGTACATTGTAGAAAAACATGGATCATCATATGATTATCATACAAAAATTTATTTTGATGCAACAATACACTTAGCCCACGGATCAATACATACCTCGGCTTTTAACCACAGGCTTCACTTCAGTTCAGTTCTGATGGCTTGGCACATCAGAGTATTTTTTGCGATTTGCTATTTAAAATGCTACTTAGAAAAAAGAAAAATAACTCCAGTACACTTCTGTACATTGTAGAAAAACATGGATCATCATACAAAAATTTATTTTGAGAGAAGTATTATTTTTATGAATTGGCCATTATTTAGCACTATAAGCACATGTACTGTAATGTCCGTTTCATTCATACTGGACGCCAGAGGGCGCCCTCACGCAGACAATCCACATATGCATCACAGATTTAAAGGAACTCATGACACTCCAGGAAATCCCTAATATGGACAAATGCAACCAGCTATTGCTGTGACTGAATAAAAAGATAGAAACGTTTTGAATGATAAAACAAAGACAAACACTTGTATGCGACAATGTACCGTTTATCTGTGTTCTTCAAGCCATCTCGGGCATTTTGGACAAATGCAACCAGCTATTGCTGTGACTGAATAAAAAGATAGAAACGTTTTGAATGATAAAACAAAGACAAACACTTGAATGCGACAATGTATCGTTTATCTGTGTTCTTCAAGCCATCTCGGGCATTTTCATATTATGTACATTGATAATCAATTGCTAAATTTTTTTTTTTTTTTTTTTTTTTACAGTATAAAATATTTTTTCTGCCTCATTCTAAGATAAAAAAAAACACATCAGATCAGAAAATGAAGTTAGTTACTTTAAACACTCGACTGATGTTGTGGAGTAAAATCTTATTAAATGTTCTCTTTTGTTGGACAAGTTTTATAAACTCTTCTCGTTAAGTTTGTGTGTGTTGCTTTTTCAGAAGCACGTTAGAAGCGACTCAAACTCACAGCGCTCGCAGAGATGAGCAGCATTTACTACTGACGCTGTGCAGCTATTCATTTCATTAAAAATCACAGCCTTTGAGATTTAATAATCGCATCAAGCCAAATCGTGATTTCGGTTCGATTCCGATGAATCATTCAGACCTAGTCAGTGGGATAAATCAAAATGGTCTTCCTGTGTGTTGTATGCATTGAGATAATCAGTGTGCTCTGTCTTTCAAACCACATGCTCACTACTAAGGGCAGATGAGACCGTCTCTGTCTTTCAGGCATTAGTTTGGTTTGATGCAGCTGAATGGGACTGACCTCTTCAAACATGTTCTTCCTGAAGTCCAGCTCCTCCATGAGGCTCTGGCAGCGGTTCTCCAGATCCACGCGCAGCAGAGTCTCGTCTGACAGCTGCTTCTTAGCCGAGCTCAGTCCTCCCTCCAGCTGAAGGACAAACACACACACACACTCAATCAGACCGACTCGCACACAAACACATCATTCTGACACTGGATGCTGGAGAAGTCATGAAACAATGGACCTCCTGAAGTCACCGTGTTCACATCTAATAAGGCCAGATCACCCAAAGACTTTATTTTGTGCTGAGGTTAGTTCACAGCAGCGACAAGTTAACTTTTCCATTAGGAGGTGAGATTTGCATAAAGTGACATACTATATAGCGAAGCTGCATGATTTTTATAGAGGTGCACCGATCGACCGGCCAGGGACTGGAATCAGGCGATCTTCCACAGGTCTTGTGCTCACATCCACATGTAAACGTGTCAGCGGCGTGTAAATTCTTCACTGTGAGTGAAGACCGTTTGCAATCTGTAATACGAGTAGAGCCAAAGTAAACTGCGGGGAACCACAGGCCTCGATTAACGCTCGTCTGGGACAAGTAGATTTTCTAAAGGTGCAAGTGAGAGAATTCACCCGACTGGACTAGAAGCCTGATTAAAACATCAAACATAACTAGGGAAGCACTGAAACTTGGCCACCAAAACTTTTAGCTCGAGACCGATTGTGTTTTTATTGCATTCAGTGTAAACGGCGAGTGATGGTAACAACTCAGTTTCTTATTATTCTAACTGAATTAATTGAAACAACGTAAGAATTTGATGTGAAAGATGACATTTAATAAGGTCAGGGAAAACATGTATAAACAGTGGGAAAATGACATCTGTTTTGTTACATACAGCAACTAATTTCTGCCTCTTTCCAGTCACGGAGCACTTTATTATGTTTAAGTGAGAGAACATTTGTAACTTAGTCCACATTAGGGGAACTGTAATGTTTAATAATTTCTTTTATGCAATTTTTTTTTTTTTTTTAGATTTTTGTTTGTACATGCGGTCAATTCTAGTGCTTAGAAAGAAAATCGGTATTGGCAGGTCAAACTTACAAAAAACAAACAAATTGTTATCAGTGCATCTCTAATAGTTTCTATGTGACCCTGGAGCACAAAAGCAGTCTTAAGTCGCTGGGGTATATTTGTAGCAATAGCCAACAATACATTGTATGGGTCAAAGTTATAGATTTTTCTTTTATGCCAAAAATCATTAGGATATTAAGTAAAGATCATGTTCCATGAAGATATTTTGTAAATTTCCTACCGTAAATATCAAAACTTAATTTAATTAGTAATATGCATTGCTAAGAACTTCATTTGGACAACTTTAAAGATGATTTTCTCAATATTTAGATTTTTTTGCACCCTCAGATTCCAGATTTTCAAATAGTTGTATCTCAGCCAAATATTGACCTATCCTAACAAACCATACATCAATGGAAAGATTATTTATTCGAAAAATTGACCCTTATGACTGGTTTTGTGCTCCAGGGTCACATAGTCACAATATGAAAATCCAATCTCCCAGGTGTACAAAGAAAAATGTAGACAATCAGAGGTTAAGGAATTAAAGCCACACCATGTAACTTTTGCTCATGGTTCCCATGTGGTTGATAAGTGCAACTGTCTGTCACCAGTGTTGTAAATACTGTCGCTGTATAAGCTTGACCGAGGGCAGCGATATACACACACACGAGTTTAACGAAGCTGAGGAACCGGCGAATGCAGAAACCTCGTTTGAAACCATGTCCACCGACCAGGTAAAGTAGCCCGGGTTACTCTATGTTCTACAAACATCATTACATAGTTTTATTCAGTGTTACTCCAGAACTGAAAACTACAATGACAAAAAGTACATCAGTATGTTTGCCTAGTTTGCTGGCTCGCATAGATCGTATGTAGCATTGTTTGCAGAGGGTGTAATTTGTATAATAGAATAAAATGTTGTCCGCATAATCATATAGCCATAATGTCCATTATAGCCTATACATCAAACATTGTCATAAGATTATAAGGCTATAAAGTAACAGAGCCTCTTTATTTGAATAACCGTTCAGACGTGAAGTAGACTGGGGAATTAGTTTTTGGATCTTGGTTACAGCCAGTGCCCGAAAACTACTCATTATTTTGAGAGCATTCGTCCGGTTAAGAGGCATTCTACCACTGAAATAATTTTAGACATTATTTTAAGGTCGAAAAACTACATAGTGCTGCTTTAAAACCCAAACAAGAGAATTGGCAGAGAATCCCTGTAATAAATGAGTCACTGAATCATTCAAACACACAAATCATTCATGAACAAAGCAAGGGAATGTCTTTATGAATGGATTACTCAAACTATTGGTTTAAAAACGCTGATTTATTCAGAAAATAAACACTAGTGTGTAAAACCTTCTCTGCAAAACAGAGCAAAAACAGACAACATTGAGCCCAAAATATAACTCACTAATGAACTTACAGAACTAATGTATAAAATCAATTATATTAGATTACATAAATTTGAAAGACAAGCTCACACAGAGGCATTTTTGCCCCCATTTATTGAATCTTGCATTCTAATGTGCTGCACGACAGTTGAAAACATGAGCCTGTTTTTCTTTGGATTTTACAAAAGGAGTGACGTACTCACTGTTGCCCATCATTAAAACAACAATTAGGGCTGCCACTAATGACCATTTTTATTTCGATTAATCTATACGATTAATTCCCCACAAAAAAAAAAAATTTTTACTTAAGAATATTTTATTAAACCAAATTAGTGTTGTCAAAAGACCCGGTATTTCGGTTGTACATTTAATTTTAGTTTAACGTTATTAATAAAAATATTGTTCAATTAGCATGTTTTTGTGTTTTGCTTTGGTACCGAAGTTGGTACCGAGAACCGTGGATTTTCACTGGTATCGGTACCGAATACTGAAATTTTGGTACCGTGACAACACTAAACCAAATGAAATCCAAATTCCTATGAAATCCCTTTTTTAAAGCAAAAGTAAAGTGCAACAAGCAAGTGTCCATCTCAGAGTCCAAATCACTGAAATCAGAGTTCAGTATTATAGTGTAAGAATGACAACATATCCACGTGCTCTGGTCTACTAATAATACAATTATAATCAAACACTTTTTAAAGGAGTATTTACCAGAAATGTTATTTATCAGAATTTATTTAGGAGAAAAATGTAAATGTGCAGTATTTCTGAAAAAATTATTATTTTTTTTTTTAATAAAATCAATTAATTGGAGATGCTTTTGATTATTCATTTAATGGAACCATTAAAATGGAATACAGAAAATAATGGAAAACAGAATTTGGTGAAGATAAAAACTGTAAAACTCAATTAATTAGACAGGCTTTTTGATTAATAAAATTTAATTTAACCATTAAAACAGAGAATAGAAAAATGAAAATGGAAAAAAACTGAATTTGGAAATAAAACGGATTTCATAGGGCACTATAATTATAATAAAACAATTTTGTGGTAATAAAAATAGATGCAAGTAAACAATAGCCTTTAAAATTACTTAAAATACATATATAACAGCAATCAGGCAATAATAATTAGTTTAAATAAAGTATCAAAAGCAAGAAGTCATATGGTTTCTGAACAAAACTGTTGAACGGAGCCGCTGTGTGACGCACGTACTTAATCTACACGCATGTAAATAATTAAAGCGCATAGACTGTATTAGAACTGCATCGTATATAATTAATTAAATCGTAGCATTTGCGAATTCACAATTATGCTTAATTATGATTTTTAAATGGGTTTAATATATCATGCAGCCTTGGGAAACAGTCTAATAATGTGTTTTATGGATTCTCGTCTGTGAAATGCACCACTTCCGGTATTTTGCCGTTAGTCGACGCGAGCAAAATGAAGTCGAGGATTTTTAAAAATCGAACAGTCTAATAAAATCAACGAATCGCGACAGCCCTAACAACAATTATGATATTTTTCATAAATAATACATACGGGCCCCCTCTAGAAAATCAACTAAGCTAAACTCTGCAGCTCTTGATCCACCTTTCATCACATCGGACCACTTTAGCACAACCTTAAGTGTCCCCTTCGGTTAAAGACTGTCAGCAACATGACTCTCTATTTTTGGTCATCATACTGGCATAGTAAACATCTCAGTGGTGTAGGACTGTCTTCAGTCAGGACCTCCTCTGCTCAGAGACACATCAGAAATGTTTACATGCACTCATTTTCATCAGTCAGAATAAATCCAATCCGATTTCACATTCTGAAGGATGTGTTCCTATGAACTCTAAATGCTTTATTTACATGTGCATTACACGTAGTCCAATCAAAACTACAGCGCTCGCAGAGCCCAGTGTGTGTTCAGGGTGGATCCAGAGAGCAGATTGTGTAACATTCCCAGATTAGTTTACGGATAACCTGAACTTTCAGTCCCAAAAACTTTCAGGGTATGAAAGCAGTCCCAGAAGCTTATGCTCCAGAGCAGGTTATGTTTCAGAGTTAGTTTACGTCACAGGTTAACGCACGTGTGCCATATTGATGAGGCTATAATTTATATAGTAATTTCTTATTTATAAAGCACTGTTATAAAATAAAGCAATGATTATTTTACTGTAATTTATCATCTCAAACAAAGTGCATCTG